GTTCAGGGTTTCATGGTTCGTGAGGCGCTTTGGGCTTCATGTCTTGACCCAGGTCTACTGACACATCAACCAGCTCTACATCAGATGATTCTAGCGCATCCTCCCTTGATGGCTATGAAGATGTTGAGGATCTGTCAGATGATCAGCAGCCCACAGGACTTGGCACAATATCTTTGACGGCCATTCAGCTCGAGTCTCTCCATGCGGTCTCCAGTTTGGAGGAGGGGAATATTTCTGTTTACGCAGAGGAGGGCCTTTCGTTGAACAGAATGAAAACTGCACTTCGCAACGGAGTTTGTGCCTGCCGCTGCCAGCTTCCACTTAGGGACTTGGCCAAGGTGTGCAAGGTCTTCTAGAGACTGCCAAAAAGTACTCAAGATACAGTATTGTGGAGCCTGCAGTGTGGAGCTGGAAGAAAGAACAAGTGGGAGATTGAAGGACGGGTCTTTTGAATGTAACGTTGGATCAGTGTAATTGTTGAATTTCAATACATTTGCCTGAACCCAGTAGCTTGTGCCAGGACATCGCCTTTGCCGCGAGGCCTTTCTAAAGTATATTGGCATTGGAAAGGCACGATTGCCTCCATCATTGATTCATTGTTTTCATGGTACACTCACACACTTGAAAGAGAGCCAGCACTTTCAACTGTCTGAGGACCTTCGGTAAAGCCGGCAGTCAAGACAGCTAGCGTTGAATCCTTCTTCATAAATCTGTATTGGTCTTCTGGAGAGTCTGTGGCCACGATGTGCTTTGGCTGAATCTTCTGTTCACCCAAAAGTAATTGGCATAAAAATGCATAAACTGTGTGTGTGTGTGCGTGTGTCAATTTTTCAAGGTTGTTGCAAAGCTTCAATGTTGTTTCAGGGGCTCCGCAAAATCGATGCTTGAGCAGGATGACAGCAAGCTTCAGCAAGAGCTTCTCCAAAAGCTTGCAGACCACAAGCTGACAGGACCCACGTTGCAGCTGTCGTTCTACTGCGACCCAAAGTGTCTTCCACCGAAGCTTCTTCCCCACGGAAACCTCAGCTGCCTTTTTGCTTTGTACTGTGCGTACAGCAATGCTGTGGAAGGGCAGGAACCAGCAGGGCGCAGTGTGTTCTATGCAGTTGCTCAGAAGTGGCGGGCCTGCCTCCGCTTCCATAAGCAATCAAATCACTCTGCTTGCACCACGTGCCTGTCCTTAAAGTCAAAGCTGGCAGCAGCCAAAGAAGCTTGGTATAGATCTATGTATGCATCTTTGATTGTTGTTCAGAAGTGGTTGATCAATCCAAAGAGATCAGGACTTTATTGAGCACGCTAAGCTATCCTCTCAGCTCCTATCTCACTACATGATGCAGTGGCGGGACAGATCAATATACTGGATGTGCCGATCCAGAAGCCGTGTTGAGAGGGACGTCCTTTGCGCCATCATCGGTTCCTATGACAAAGCCAAGATATGCTTCCAAGATGGCCCAACAAACGAAGTCCCAAATCATCGGTGTATGATTCATTGAAGCGACACTTTGTACCAACAATGTGGTTTTGTGGCATTGTGTTTTGTGGCATTTTATCCGTCCGTGCGCTGCGTCCAAGGAACAACAATGACTTTGACAGCAAGCATTTGTCATGGCTATGGCATATACTTTTTTCTATGCCACGAGTCCATGCCTGGTGGTGCAAATTGGAGTGTGGAAATCGCCACTGGGCCCGACAACCATGTGTGCATGCGCTTCATTGCATTGGCTGTAGTTTTTTGATTTGTTTGAGAGCAAGGCTCTGAAGAGCATCGATTACGCTTTCCAACATGCAAGAAGACAGGGAATAGCCTTTCCAACTGAGTATCACCCTTAGCTCACACAAGCCCAGTTTTCCATAACTTGTGCATCAACCATTTTCCTTGTTCCATGAGTTCTGGCCCAGGTATTGGCTTCAGGGTGACAACGCTGTCAAAGAGATCCGCAATGAAAGCGTTCACCAGATGATGGTCTTGCTTCTGCAAGGTGGGTACTTCCGCCAGGTGACGGCAGCCCATTTGGAAAAAGGCCATACACATGAAGACATAGGCAAGGCTTTGAGATTTGGGATGAACACCAAAAAATGAAAACATTGCACACGTTGTCACTTCGTCCAATTTGAACTTCAAATCCCTGAGATGCATCATTGTCACTCGTCACGGCGGCGCTGACTGGCTGTTCAGACTTGCAAACTTCAAGGGACATCCAGAGGCCTGCAATGCTTTGTTAGCATGTTTGCCTCATGGTGCTTGCCCTTGAGTTCCCTTGAGGGCCTTGGAGAATCGGTTAGCACCATTATTTGCAAAAAGCGGAATGGAGTGCCGGGTGGAATTGCTGGAACAGGTTACTTGCCTTTAAGGTTTGGTTGAATGCAAGTCATTGCACTGACTGATACAGAGTTGTATCCTGCCAAGGTACATGATTGGAACAAGATCCTGCCTGGCAATGTGTACCTCTATGGCGCATACAAAGGCAGAAAGCCGAAGCCAAATGAAGAACAAATGGCAGTTCCTCAGCAATTCACCTTCATCAGAAGACAAGGCTCATGTCATGCGTTGTGAGATTGATTGGTTTCATTTTTCTGTGCGATCTACTTCTTTGTCGGACCTGACAGATATGCCAAACCATGGACGCCTGATGCCCACTGAAGAACGTCTACCCAACCGCCTTCGCAATGGCGGTCGGGACAAAGACATTTTTGCTTTGACCAAGCTTCGGATGAGCAGTGATCATTTGAGCCAGGACCCGCTCCTGATATACCCAGAGGGATTTGTGCCTTCCACAAGGCATTTCCGGTCGCGTGTGGCAGATCCTAACAGTGCTTTGCCACTGGTTTGCCCGAAGCTGGACACAGACCGATGCAGGGAGCTTGCTCAACTGGAGGCGCAGATCGCGGAAGATTTCCCACATATGGCTCGAGCCTGCAGCTACTACAAGATGCTGATGGATCCTACAAGGGAGACGCCATCACCATCACGTTTTCAATTTATCAGTTTGAGGCCACGCGCGGATGAACGCATTGGCGAAATTGAACTTGGGAATCCAGGTGTGCAACCAAAGCCACACAAGTTGAGGGTAGTGTTCCACAGAGCCGCGAATGGGGGTTGAGCTGCAAAGTTAGCTCTTTCATGGCTGACTTCAAAAGCACTGTGCCAAAACACTGTGGTTTGCGTATCTCTTCCAGTTCCATTCACATTTTTTGCAATTCCACTGAGGGTCATTTGGCAAGTTCCCTCTATTGTTGATCATGTCAAATGAGTATGTGTGTGCATGTGTGTTGGTAACAGAGTAGCTTCACGGCCACATCAAAATCCTACAAATGAACAGAAACAACTACTGACACACGAAGTAGACTGAAATATTTTCTTTTGTTGGGTATCTCACCATGGGAATGCCTGACTTGAGCTCGGACAAGCCGCTGGGTCAACTGTGCAGCTACTTTGAGACTGCCTGACGCCTAGAAGGGTCAAAATGGTTTGTAGGTCTTGTAGGTCTTGGACAAAAACAACTTGGGTGATCACGTGAACAAAGTCTTTGAAGACCGGAATCTCTATGAAAAGGCCAGAACTTGGTGGTGAAGTGATTGAACCCGTTTCCACACAAGCGCTCATCTCGCACTATCACCTCTCCAACCTCTGCTGCAGGTGGTGAAAAGCCTGGTGGTGGAACGATTTGATTCCGCGGCGACTGCAAAACCAACTTTGAGTCTGGTGCCGCAGAGTAGCCTACAAGAAGTATGGTTGCCATTGCACTTCTTTGACATCAGCCCTGGATTCAAAAACGGATGTCGGGTGTTACAAACATGTTGTTGGTTTAATAATTGAAAAGCTGACAAGCTTGTTGTCCAGTTTTCTTCTCTCACACAACCCCTTGCAAACCCTGAGTCTACCCGCAGAACAGCCAGTTCCGGAAGCACTTCCGCGAATTCCTTGCTGGATATATTCCCAGGGAGAGCGTGGAGATCAGGTTCCCATATGCCCCGCCCAGTCGGCAGATTGAAAGCTGCTCTGTTGGCTTCCTGGATGGCCAAACAAAGGTGCTTCTGATGGCTGCTGTTCTTGCATTCATTCATGAACTTGAACCTCGTCCTAGAATATGTCGGTTTCGTGCAAAGGTTTTCCGCCTTGAGCCCAACCCCTTGTCAGTTTCAGCCTCCAAGGAATGGACTGAATCCAATGAACTGCAAGATGGCGATGCCCTGGCAATGCTCGAGACGTTCAGATGGGTGAGATGCTCATACACGTACTACTCGAACCCGACAATGAACTTTCTTCAATCTTTGAGAAACTTGATAGCATCGTGATTGAACGTACCAACAATGACTTGATTATACATTGACTGATGTACTACTAAGAAATTGGGCACTCGGCAACAAACACACCAAACCAGGTCCGTGGAGTCACGTTGGACAACTTCATTAGTCAAGCCCAAGATCGCCAACGCAGTGCCCTATCGAAATCATTGCAAGCGGCGTTCTTGGCTTGGCAGGAGCAGTTGCAGAGCGATGAAATTCAATTTGAACAACAGATGATCCTGCCACTTGCAATGACTCACCAAACAACTTGTCGCTTTTAAGGGAGGTTTAAGCCTGGTTCAATCTTGGGGGTCACTCATCCATGTCACTCCCAACTAGGCTGTAGTGAACCATTTTGCTTTTTGTTCCCCCAACACCTTTCCAACGGGCCCCGCCAACCCACGGGAGCAATGACAAGCTCAAATGTCAATGTAGTTCAGCCACCTGCACACGCCGCCCAGGCAAGAGAAGTCTCACGCCAAAGCTCGAAACCGACTGGTGAAGCAATTGGAGGACACGAAGCCTGTTGATGCTTGTTGTGACCTTCAAAAAGAAAATCCATGGTTGAAGCCGGTTACAAGCTTTTACATTATTATTGATTTCCAAACAGCAGTTGCAATCATGTCAGGAAGCCCACAACCGCTCTTGGGAGGTTGTGAAGGAGTACCTATCCTCCACACTTCGAATCATGCCGGGCCGCGCTGACTTCAGTGATGCCAGTCCTGAATGACTGGTGTGAGCAAACGCTCATTGACGTGCCCGAATGCCGTGAATGTGATGACCACTGCGTGATTCTGCGGGTGAACCTGGCAAGCCAGGGAATCCTTACAACTCACAAACGCGAATGGACCATCGCATATTTGGCAAACGCTTTGAGCAAGTACAAGAAAAATGGCGTTGCAATTCTCATCCACGGCAATAGAGCTGGGCAAGCTGTGCCTGGGAGGGGGTCTGGTGAAACATCATCAATATTATTCATGAAACATCAGTTCAGCGACTTGATTTTACATGAAGGATAGTTTCTCACTGCTATACACCCTGTAGCTTGCATTGTTTGGTTGGCTGATGAACTAGTTTGCACTCTTGCCCTGGGAGGAGAGATGTGGAGAAAGACACCCAAAGATGAGGAGGATGAAAAATGTGGGGTGGACGGGATGGAAAAGAAGGAAGAACCAAGTGATGGCAGCGACGACAGCAACAATGAGGAGAAGTTATCAATGGAAGATGTGGAGGTCCGCGACGTCAAATATCAGCTGGAGATACTTGGATGACTAGCTGCCAGCAAAAGAAACTTCAGACCAAACGGCTTTTCAGGTTGCAGCAAACAGCTTGTTGCGCAACCCTGCTTGCAAAGGAAGGCGCTGGCTGCAAAGGAATTGGGCCTACACTGCAGACCTTTGACACTGGTCTTCGATCAAGTGACTCAGCCGGAATGCACTTGTCTAGCAGCAGCAGCATCAGCAGCAATGAACATTTCAACTTGTTGCTTCGAAAATGTTTGTGAATACAAGGACAGCATATATGGAAAAAGGGATGGGACCTTGAGTGGTCTCCTCATTGTTTCCAAGAGTGAGAAATACAACATATTCAAAGGCACCAAAGCGTTCAAGCAGGGAGTGACTCACGGAGTGCAAATGCTCCCAAGAAGCAGCATGTGGAAGCCAGAGGTGGGAATGGTTACTTCTTGTGACTCTCAAATTTCGTGTGACTTGTGGTTACTTCTTGTGTGCTCCAACTTCCCGCGACCCTGCCTTGCAGGGCCCATCTTCGCGGCGGAGCTTACCCCACCTGGGCAGAGCTCTGACCGACGCGCAGGAAATGAGACAGGCTTCGTGCAAATTGTTTATTGTTGTTTCATTTCAAGCGTTCAGTGAATCAAAGTTTGTAGAGGCACTCTCAAATGCATTAGAGATGTGTAAAATGTCAGGTGGCCGCTGGAACAAGCATTATCAGGACATGCTTGGAGAGTTTGCGACCATCTTCAGTTGCTACCACACTCTTGCTGGACATTGTTGGATATGATGGCTTTGCATGTTTAGCAGCTTTAGAGGACACTTGGAGGGGTGTTTTGGTCTTGCTGGTTCCGAAAGTAAAAATATGTTGGTCTTGGGGTGGGTCGGTTTTCACTCTTCATAGCAGTACTCTATTAACCGTATACCTGGCACCAATCATTTGGTGTGCGCAACCCTCTTGGTCTGTCGCAGGAACAAGCAGCAGGAAACAGGGTGATCTGCGCTTCCGTTCTTCTGGATTTGCCCTGTGATGAAATCAGCAATCGAATAGCGACCCAGGTGCACGACTCATGCAGAGCAAACCAGCTAACGCTACAAGGCTTCCCGGATTTTGGTCCCATCGTGTCAGCGCTCCGGAACCGAACAACAGATGTGGTGGAGAAGAATAACTACAAAGTTTGCAAACTGGTTGATTCCCAAAAGCTCGCAGTCTTACAAGTGTATGCCCAGCGATGGCTCGATGAAGATATGACAAAGGAACAAGCAACGCAAATCATCACCGAGCACAACGCCAAGTTCAACCAGGACGGTGACTTCCTTCAAGGTGAAGCCCAGATACTTGCTCGTATAAAAAACATAAACCTCAAGTGGGGATGGTTGAGACAAACAGCCACTCCTTTGCTTTCTGACCGCAAGCATATTCTGCCCGCGCCCACAAACGCTTCAAACCAAGCCACCAAGGACCGAAGGTTCAGGAGGAGCCTGCAGCCAAGCGGATCAAGATTGAGGAATCGGAGACTTGCGCTGAAGCTGAAATCACGAAACTGGTTGGGCCGTGACCTGGCCTTATGATTCTTGCGTCAAAGAGTAAAGTTGCTTTGTTCAAGACTTTATTGTATAGCAACTTAAGCCTGACCTTGGGACCTTGAGCAACAAAGGCAGAAGATCAATCTAAACAACAGTTCGGAGCTTCTTACATGTGCTGATGGTGCCACCATCTATCTTCTGTCCAAAGCCAAGAATGATTTCCAGGCGCACAGGGAGCTGTATCTTGTCAGCACCAGAAGAAAACAGATAAGCAACTCAAGGTTTACACATGTTTACACTCTGTTGTTTCACAATGCTATTATATATTGTCCATCCACCCCTAATCTTGCCCAGGTTCTCTTTTGGATCGGGCGATTGGAGGGCTGGAAGCGTTTCTCAGCTCAAGATTTAGTGAAGGACAATTGAACCATGGATGAACGACTAAAAACAACCCATGGACCTTATTAAACTGTCAGGAAGCGACGGAGTCAATGGCAGACACCGCCGGAAGATGGTTCCGATTTGCACCATCAATGGAGTCACTTGCGCTTCTTGAGAGAAAAGATCTGCCAGAGCATCTGATGCAGTGTGCATCTGTGGAGCGGCCAACTATGTTGAGGAAGCTCTTGATTGATCTCGAAGACAGCGGAGAGGCTGTGTGCTTCTTTGTGTTCTCAGTGATTTGCCGGCGCATTGCAGATTATGTCATTGCATCTTTCTTGGAAGAGTTTTCCACTCTCTGCTTGTCTGTGTAAACCTTAATACCGCTTTCTCTGCACTGCCTGCCAGGTGAATTTGAAAGTCAGCCACCATTCCTACAATGGCACCAGCGAAGAAAAGGTCCTATTGCCTGAGAAGCCCCTATGTTTCCTTCTTGATGAGCGGAAGGAAAACCAGGATGACAAGAATGAGAACAAGAAAAAGAAGAAAAATAAAGCAAAAAAGAAAGACCAGCCAGCTGCGCCTACGTTCAAGAACTTCGGTGCTTTGCTGAATGTCCCAAAGTTGAAGGGGGCTTCAAAAGTGGTGATTGGCTGGCGGCTGAGGCCCGATCACTCAAACAAAAAATCCACAATGTCCTTTCTATCAAGGCCTTTGTGTTTGTTTTACCCGAAACACATGTCAGGTTGGAGTGTTCCGATGGCTCCAAGACTTTGACGCCAATTCGCCCGATCTGCTGCCTTGCTGGCAGCTTGTCGCTGTGGAGAGGAAGTCTGCGGTGTGTGGTGGAAAGTAGGCGGTGGGATCCATGCGGTATTGGCCAGGTAGACCGGGAGGGCCTGGTACAAATTGGAGCAGTCGTCGAGCTTGCATCAGGCGTAGGGTGGCTCTCCCTAGGTCGACCAAACTGTGATGGAATTGGTGAAAGAGCCGAAAGGCGTTGTCATCCACGAACATGTTGGGGTCCGGCAGGGGTCCATCGGCCATTGGATGATCCAAGATGTGAGTGAGTGAGTGACCAGCAGGAAGAGGCTATCAAACATCCGGCTTAGAAGCAGGAGTTCTGGTTGGTGAGTGATGGATGGTGCTAGGTGAATGGGGCCATTGCCCGGTAGAAATGGCTGATTGGGTTGAATGTGAGTGTGTTGTGTAAAGGCGGCCATTGGCGTAGGTGTGGAGCCGGGCTGATAGCTGTTGCTCGTGTCAGGATTGGGCTCTGTGTCGCTGGCAGCTGCGGAGTGATCGGAGGCCATGATGTGGCAGCGTGAGAAAAACGCAAGAAGGACGGATATCAAGTTCAATGGCAAACGGCTGCGTTGTGGTCAGTAAAAGGTCAGGAAACAACAGGGGTGGTCAGTCGAACGAAGTCGATCGAGCAAAATTCGAGACAGAACCGTAAGTGTGTGAATCGAAATTCGATGCAACGCAAGCTGAACATTGTTTTCTGCTCGTAACAAACCAGAGCAAATGGTGAAACTTGATCACGGTGCTGTGTTAACCTCGTGGTTGCTCAAGTGGCTGACCCTGGTAGCGTCAGGTGTGCTATTGCGGTCAGCCGCCGGCGGCAGGGCAGCAACATCGGCATTGAGCTGCATGTAGTTGCGTCGGTCTCTTGAGCGCGATCTGAGGAAGGAGCGGTGTGGAGGACGAAAGAAGAAGGGGAACGAGAGCGTCTGTGGGGACTTGTGGAGAACGATGGTGAAGTAATAGGTTCCGTAGACAAAAAGTCGGTAGTGTGAGGTGGGAAGTGGGCTGCAAGATCCATACATGGAGGAGTCGCCGAGCTCGTGTCAGGCGCAAGGTGGCTCAGCCCAAGTCAGTCAGAGTGAGGTGGAACTGGTAGAAGAGCCGGTAGGTGTTGTCGTCCACAAACCTGGTGGGATCTGGTACAGGGCCATCTGCCAGCGGGTGTTCCATGATGTGGGTGACGAGCGTGGAGAGATGGGTAAAGGATGGTGCCAGGTGGATGGGTCCATTGCCTGGAAGAAAGTGTGTCTGGGGATCTGGGTAGTGGAGGCTGATGCAGGTGTGCTGTGTACTGCAGGCTGTGGTGTCAAGCGCTGGTTGCTGGTGATGACAGGATCGCTGATAGTATCGTCCGCTGCTGCAGCCGGATGCGAAGCCATGATTGACCGGCGAGAAACAAATGATAAGTCAAGGGCAAATGGCTGCGGTGTCGTAAGTAAAATCTTTGAAGTATAGACAGGGCAGAGCGTGCACATCAGCGAAAGAGGGTGATCCAAATGACTTAAATCACGACAGTAGAGCTTCAGCTGTCCTCGATCACGAGCCGTGCATGCGGTTGTTTCCGGCAGCGCGCCTAGAGAAGCTGGGTGAAACGTGAGGAAATCATACAAAATAGCTACATAGAAGTTGGTCATCTGCAGGTTGCGGATGGCTGTCCTCACTGTTAGTTCGCCTCGCCGCTGCTGTGGAGTCCGCTGTGCAGATTGTAAAGCATGAGGTGGAGATGAAGAGTCGGAGAAATCTGCTTCAGAGTGTGGTGGGAGAGGTGTTGCTGGCGGGGTTTTGCTGGTGAAGTAGGTGTGGGGGAAATGGCCGGTGAAGGGTGTGGAGAAAGAGGATGAGGTGGTGTGGAGGCATCGTGGATTGTTTGCCATTCTTGAATTTCTTGCCAGCGGGCTTTGCGCTGCTCAATGGAAAAGCCCACGCGTCGGGCTACATAGTTCCAATTGGGTCTGAGGTGAGGGTCTGTCTTCAGTTCGACGAGGCGGCAATCTGCGTCGCCGTCCCAATCATCCCAATTGGCCTGGGAATTCAATGGCGGTGCTGGTTGTCGTCGTTTCTTGGGATGTGGTGGTTGTGGTGTAGGAGTAGGGGAAGAAGAATCGAGAGATGCGGTTGGTTTGCGTGGCGTTGGAGGAAGTCGATGTGCTGCTGCTGAGTCGCAAGAAGATGTGGGTGATGGTACTGGTATGGTGAAGGAAGGAGGTGGTGGAAGGGGGAAAGGAATGCTGGAAATGATTGTCAACCTGTCCTGTATGGAGCAGGTAGAGGCTGTGTAAGTCTGCCAAAATGTCAGTTGCTTGCTGGAGAAGGCGGTGTAGTTGCGCAAGAGCGATAGGGGTGCGGCGAATCAACTTGGCTTGGTCTGGGTTAGTGTTCATCATGTGTGAAAGCTTAGCTGATGGATGTTCGTGGACAGCACGGCAGCGCGGCAAGCTCAGCGCGGCGACACAGGTAGCATGAACGGTCGGCTGGAGCGCGCAAATGAATTATTGAGCATGAATTTTGCAGCAAACAAGGTGCCTTCATAAAGGCCGCAAGATGTAGCGCCAAGTCAGTGAAGACCACATGTTAAAAAGCATTAAAGACAAAACTTCTCGTCGAAACTAGGAGACCAAAAACCCATCCTTCAATCAAAATCTCATTGGAAGCAGCTCGTGAACAATCAAGGGAGGCGCAACATGTAATCGCGCGTCGTAGCATGAAAGTGGTCTAAGAATCTGGCATGCTGTGTATCAACCAGAGTTCTGAGCGGTATAGCCGGTGCAAATTGAAGTCCGGCAATGCTCGGTCTTTTTCGCCGAGCGAGTGGTATGTGGTGTTGGGTGAAACTGGTGGAAATGTGGTCAATCAGAGTGGAAGTTGTTGTTGTGGTGAGTTAGGTGTCTGGTGGAGTGGAGTTGATCGACCACGCCAAGCCTTTGACAATCGCGTTGTCTGGGTGTATGACCCAGCATCGTGCTTTGGCATGGCTAACAGCACCGTGGTGTTGGAGAAGCAGGTTCATCGCTTGCTCCTCGCCGCCGCTAGTAAATTTGGTGCCTTGACCCCAGGCAAGTAGGTTGATGATGAGTGAATGTGTGTTTTTTGCGAGGTTCCAAGTGTTGTGGAGAATGCGGGCATGTTCGGCGTTGTCATGTTGTGGCTGTTGTGTGATGCGCACGGCCTGGGCAAAGAACCCAGGGTTGTTGGGGAAGTGGAGGGCGCTGGGCAGCCCTGTTGGAGGATGTTGGTGATGTTGCCGAGAGGGCCTGTGTGGCCGGCATTGATGTGGACCATTTCTGGTGTGGTGGAAGTCGCACGTGTCGCTGGTGGTGGGAAACTCCGAGATGCTTTTTGCACAAGGCTGGGGATGGTAATGCAATGGTATTGATAAATGTCGTGGGTGTTGGCAGTGTCGTTCCATTTGATGTGAGTGAATTGTCTGAAATCTGAGATGTCTTTGTATGTAAGGCCGCTGTCAAGTAACAGGCTGGCGACATAAGTGTGTTGGGGTTTGTTAGGTGCCTCAAGCTGATTCAGCACGATAATCAAGCCAGAGTGCCAGTTGTTCTTGTGGGGTGCGTTGTTGGAACTGTGGGGATGGTCGCCATGGTTTGGTAGGCCTGCGAAGAGCTGGAATGTTGGGATAGCTGGTTTGTGATTGATTGGTGACAGCATCTTGTTGTAGTGAGTCGTTGTTGGGGAGAAGTGAAATGGGTTGTCTGGAGTGGCTGCGTGACCGGCTGTAGGAGTATGAGGAGTATGTTGAGGAAGGTGATCGCGAGCGGTGGTGTCGCGATGAATGGTGCCTGTGGGTGGCACCGTGCTGCGTTGTGGTGTGTGATGTGCGGTGGCGGCGAGGGCGTCTGCCTCTAGTGTGATGCCGGTGGCGACGGCGATGGTGTCGGCGATGGCCGCGGCCACGGTGACTGGGAGCGTTGGGTGGTGGAGGTGGTTGTGGTGCTGAGGTAAGTGGGTGAGCAGGTGGCGGATCTGAGATGCGTGTATCAGTAGGATTGTCGGATTGAATTGAACCTGCTGGAGTAGAAGGTGGAGGTGTGTTTGATAGAGGCAGGTAGAGGAGTTGAAGAGGTTTGGTCGGTTGTGATAGTGCTGTCTGCTTGTGCTGAAGGCGCTGTAGAGGCTGGTGATTGGAGACCAGCAGTGGCTGCAGCGGGAGGTGTCGGCTGTAGTCCCATTGCGTTGGTGCTTGCTGGCATGCTTGCTGTGGGGCTGGTTGAGTGTGTGGAGTTGCCGCTGGTTGTGGGGAATCATGGTGGGGGACTGTGATGGTGGAGGTTCCTGCGGAGGTAGTGCATAGGGAAATGGAATGGTGTGATGATGCGGTAGCTGAGGCAAAAGCTGTGGTTGTGGTTGAAATTGGGTTGTAGGCTGCCATGTTGGCTGTGGGATATGCTGCAGTGTAGTTGGCATGCGCGAGATCATGGGAGGCATGTGAGGTTGCGTCTGTTGGATTGGAAATGTCGGTGCTGTTGTAGGTGGTGGCTGATGTGTCAAGTATGGATATGGCCACGGGTATTGCATTGGGACTGTGTTCGTAGTAGCAGCAGTCTCCGTCAGCTGCCCAAATGGCGCCCGCGCAGCGCGATAGCAGCAAATGAAAGTTGAAAAGGTCTGAAAACGTGAGTATGAAATGGCATGAAGTGAAATGCTGTAAGTAGTGAGTCAAATGTGTGGAAAATTCTGAGGTGATAGATTGAAGGTGAAGCGACTGTACACACTTGAAACTCCAAAGTCGGCTGCATATCGAAAGGAAACATGCACTGAAATGACACGCTGAATGTTCAGTACGTTGGGAGGACAATCACCGTATTAGCCCGGCGGCTCAAAAGGCAGTGAATTCAAGGTGGACGAAAGCAGTTAGGAGAATCCAAGGTTTGGTGAAAACGATCAAGGCTGTGACACGATTTCCGGCATGAAAACAGCGCCTCCTTGCGGAGGATCACACCCAGCACCCAAGTGGGACGGCTGAGCACTCTGACATTGGTTTGCTGTTAACTCAATTCCCACGTGGAAAGAAGGTGAGGGAACGGCAAGGTGAAAAGTCCGAAAAGTTGTAGATGTTTTAACAAGTGGTTTATGCGCATCTGCAGAACTCACGACGGCAGCTCACAGCAGCTCAGTGGCTGAAAATGGTGGGGGGAAACTGGTTCGGGGGAAGAATCATGAAAGGACCATGAATCAAAACGTGGAAAGTGGAGTCACAGCTTGGTCAACCGTTTCCGGTTGCAGGTACACGGAAGTGATCAGCTTCCGCTTCCTAGGATCTTGCAAAGAGCTTCGTTGGGCAGAGCCTTGCAAGTCCTCTCTGCCCCCCTGCTGTGGTGTCAGAACAAAGCACAGGACCCTTTGGAACAGGGGTTGACACACACACACACAGAGACCCACACACGGACTCGACGCACTAGACTGAACAGGTCACACTTAACAACATAGACACACACACAGAGACCCACACACGGACTCGACACACTAGACTGAACACGTCACACTGAACACAAAACTCACATTATACCTGGAGTGACACCGAGTCGTTTAAGGCGGACGTCGTTCGGCGGAAGGACAACAAGGACGTAGCTAGACATATTTTCGGGGAATCTTTTCCGTATACACAGGCGAGTCGCGAGCTGGGCAGAGAGAGCACGCGAAGATATAGGCAATGGCTGCTGCGTGTCACCTGAAGCTACTTGGGCACGTTCTTGTTTTGGGACAGTCGATGAGAAAATGACCAGTACAGCAGTTGATGAACCACATCTCAAGTGAAGAAAACGTTACCTGGAGAGCGGTGTGGTTGCCATGCATGTGTGCATTTTGCATAGCTTACCTTTTGGTGCTCAAACTTGTTGCGTACCTGCCTCAGCAATTTTCTGTGTTCACTCCAGCTGGCTTTTTTCAGTGACATTTCCTGGAGGCGTACACGCTGCTTCTCCCCTTACCAGCAGCTCAAATGCTCACGACGATGAGCTGGGCTGTCACCGCTTGGCCGCCGGTGGGGGGTTTGGGAGGCCTGCGCGCTACTTCGTTCACTATATCTACAGTGAAGACCTGCGCCAGCAGCAGACATAGACACACACACACAGACAGGGACTCATACACACACATCACACACAGAGACCCACGCACTGCCTCAACTTACTCGGACACACACACAGACAGACTCATACACACACAGACATAGATACACACACAGAGACCCAGACACTACCTCAACATACCTCAACTCACTCGACTTAACTCTTCACACTGAACACTTCACAGATAACTCACACTCTGACCTCCTACGTGATGAAAAATGTTTTCGGGCCACTCGTCGTCTAGTTATTTCGTATTTGCCAGTAAAGAAGCCATTGACATGAACAAATTTGATATCCATCATACAACATACATGGCACACATAAATACAAACACAGGCGGAAGATAAAACACAGGAGGCGAACATTTGGCTAAAGTATCTTTTGGCTAAGAATGACGGATCCCAGATAAAGGAATTTAGATCAACACCCATATATAAATGTATATGTGCATGGTTTGCTTGCTGCTGAGAAGCAAGTAGGGCGTTTGGGCCCTTTTGTGTGGGAGACTCACGCAATTCAAAGGCTCCAGTTAAAAGAGTTCTAACTAGGCGCTGTCGTTTGTCAATTTTGCTCTGCAGGAGGCAGCTGGTGCAAGGGGCATGTTTGAGGGATGATTGACTTCGCTTATCTTCAATCAGGTCGCTCGAAACTAAGGGGCTCAAGTCAGGCTTCGTCAGCAGGGCTCCAGGTTGCCACTCGCTTGTTTTTCTCGACCTTCATGTAAAGAATTGTCTTCGTGGTTAGCCGTTTTGGGCGGCAAGCACATCACTTTGGCTGGGCTGGGATGCGCCTGCTTCATGATTGCGCTCTCGTCCAGGTGCTGTGCACGTTTTCGGACTTGGTGATCACTCTTCGTAGCGGGTGCAGGAGATCGGAGTTGTTTTACTTGGATGGACAGATTTCGTGGCAGGCAAGGTGCAGTGTTTGGATGTGTTTGGTGTGCTGTCATATTGTGTCCTCTCACGTAAGTGCTCAAATCATGTGTGCGTGCTATCAAATGAGTGCTCTCTTGAATGTGTATGTTTGCTCTCACATCAGTGCTGGATAGCATAGCCTGCCTGGCCTAACTTAAGTTTGTTCACCAATTTGACAGTTGGCTGGGGGTACGTGAGTGCATTTCTCAACCTGATCCGGACCGATGCTGTGAAATGACACAGGCTTTTGGTTGGAGTGAACTTACAAGGACATTCATGTTTTTGTGCTGCGGTGGATTGGATTTATCGAGTCCAAAATCGGCTTGAAGTGTGTGCATGACAGGCTTTGGGACTTCTTCCAGTTCAGGCACGACACGTGGAAGTATATAGAAGGGCCAATGCGTCATGTTTTTCTTTAAGCGGAAAGGGCATGGCAATTTCATAGTCTTCAAATGTCTTCAATAAGTTACTGACGAGTTGCCAGTTTCTGGCCAAGGGGGTCGTTGGCAGCCCAACAAGCGTTGCATGATTCCAGGTAAAGCACCCAGCAGGGAGGACCAGGGATTCGATTTGATGAGGGAAATCAAGTCCAAACCCAGACGCGTTCCTTGCCATTTGGTCCTTGCCCTGCACGATTGTTTTTGTCAAAACCCAGCGAAGACATGTCCAAGCAAATGATAGGGTCATGAGGTGAACGTGCATTCGATTTTGTTTCTTGTATTGAATGTTTCGGGGTTGGAAATGCTCCGCCCCTATTGCCTTGTATGGTTGTGTTCACCCTGTCGCGAGGAGAACTCACCAAAGTTTCGCGTTAACAAGGTCGTGCCGATTGGTTTGCTGACTGGAGATGGGTAGTCCAGTTCTTGTGAAATGCTAGCCTACAGAGCAACAAGTTGTGTTTTGGGTGGTTTGCTACTATTGAAATGCTTCAGGCAGACCAGGGCAACCTGCTTGACCTGCACAGTGGACAGGTGCAGCATAAATTTTGACCTTTTCCCCTTTGACATTTGAATTACTGTAGCTTCAACTTACCTTGTGGTTCTTCCAAGATCAAAGGCAAAGACAGAGAGCAACATGGAGTACACAGGCTTCAAGGTGCACCTGTGACATTTGGACCGTGTTTGTCGGTGTTCCTTTCATCCCGGATCTGCGCAGTTTGTATCACTGTCGATGTGTTGTCGTTTGATGCCTAAACATACGAAAGGGGTCCGGTCCTGCAGGGCCATTTTGCCAGGCAGAGTCCGGTGACTTGCGCAGTTTGCGGCAAGTCAAGGCCATCCCGCAGCAATATGGAAATCAAACGCAGCTGAGGCTGAAACCAACAGATGTTACGTAGTTTAATACTATTTTGTTGGAGTGTTTTCCTTGCTCTTTTTGAAGATTACTGAGAACATCTAGTAAAAGGGCCGCGTGCCCTTTCAGATGCTGGAGTTTGCAGAGTGTACGTCTTCCGCAGTATAGTCTTTCATGGATTGTTTGTTTGTTGGGAGCGCTTCCATGTTTGTTCTCGTTCGCTTGCCGGATGTTTTGGACATCTTTTGGATATTTGCATGGTTGGAGCCGTGCTTTCTATGCATCATGTTTGAGTCTATGTTTTTTGCATCGTTTTTTGATCTTGTTCCTTTTTGCCCAGCTCCAGCGTGTGATCCCTTTCTTTATTAAGAGTCTATTATAGAATTTGCTCCTTCTCCCTTTTCGATTGATAGCTCATTCCAGCTTTGTTCGATTGTTAATGTTCTTTGTTGCTAAATTTGGGTGTGTCCGTCCTGGTCCACAGGATCAACGCCCAAAGCTTGATTTTGTTGTTCTTGCTGGTAACCCAGAGGTGAATCCAAGTTGCGAGCCCTCTGAAATACAACTTGAATAACTCACTCTATATATATATATATACGTAAAGCTTTTGGGACATGTCCAAGGTCAGATGCTTGTCTCAAGAACGCAAAGTGACTTGACAGTTATCCATAAAGCATTGCATAGACAATGTTTGTGGACACAAGCACCTAATTGAACAGCACAGGCGCATGCTCACAAAGGGTGCACTTGCACAATGCATCCTGAGACGCTTGCGCAGAGGACCCTGACGGCGCATGAGCTTGAGCAGTGCTTGCTTATGCAGAACGTGCTTGCAGAACGCAGCCAGTTGCACATGATAGGAACTAAATTAATAGAAGCGTGAGCTATCCTCCCTCCACTGCCATTTTATGAAGTAGCCACCTATTTAATTCACTAAGGGCGAGGGCAACGGGCCAAGAGACAAGACGTTCAGGTGCAGAACACTTTCAGAGAACCCGGTGCACAAACATAGCGCCGTGCCAATTCACATCCTTGCTTCGGAAAAACATTGGGCTTTTCCACCTTGACAATCCTAGCACGTGGAAACACCAATGAAACTTTAGAGCCGGAATGCCATGGATCGCCATAGCGAATTTGTGTGATAAACGCGGTAAAGCTTTTGGAACGATAAGTCTATATCCCTGAACATCCCCAATTTGATAGAGTTGTGGGCACGGCATGCTGCTGGCAGGGCCATCCAGGTGCGGATCCACTATCAGAGCACTACGGAGGTACCTCCAAAATGTGCATTGATTCGCTGTCGCAGATGCTTTGCTTCTCAGGGGATGGGGGTGTTTGTTGTGAGGCCATTTGAAGTTCCGAAATACAAAGTCCTTCTCCATGAGTGTCGCAAGCACTCCTGATGCCCTTTCTCCTGATGCTCTGCCCTTACCTAAAGCTAGGGCAAAGCAATTCATTAGATTGAACTCATTTGGTGTCGAAATGGTCTGCAAACGAGGCGGAAAGTGTATCTGGCGAGAGCTGGGCGCTAGGAGCTCAGAGCTTTCAGCAGGGCATTCGGGAATTGGATATCAATGATTTGTACAGGAGATTTGAATAACAGTGCAAGTAAGTTATTCTTACAATAGGCAGTTCACACAATGTGAGATTGGTGTTGTTTTTCAATCACCACTGTCGCAGCTTGATCAGGAGAAGCGATCCGTGAACCAATTCGTGTAGTGTCAACCCTGGATTATTATTAAACCCCCCCTCCCCCCACGTGGAAGGTCAACACGGTCAAGAAAGTCTGAGGTACCATGCATCTGTACAATCTTTAGCGACGTCAGACGAGGTGACGAGGTACCCTTTTGGATTTAACGAGGTGATTTAGATGAAATCCCTCAGCTAAAACAACCACAAGATGAACTGAGCTTTGAGTGAGGCTTGCATGCTTACATGTATAGTTGGTAAAAGGAATCTAGGACCACTTTGTCCAAGATTGGAATTGTCATGTAAAGAATTGCATCATCTGAAATCGGTATGCTAAAGTAGCATTGCCGTGTGAACTGAGAGACTGATCGCCAACTACGTTTGGCTCAAGACTTTGGAAAATGGGCTGCTGACGCGACCGGATACGATCGTTCGCGTTTTGAGTCGGCCTACCAAGAGATAGACCAAGGTTTTAGCTTTCAACTGGTTATCAGCCGCAAGAGCTACAAGGAGACCATTGGTTGAAAAACGAGACCATACACATAGATCGAGACAAGCTTGTCAAACGAAACACCTACGTTGTGTTGAAACTCACTTGTTGCCTCGCGCTTCCGAGCGCGATCCATGCCCCCGCGTGAGCGCGAACGTGAGCGCTCACGAAGAAGACGTGGACCTCGAGGCGGAGATCCAAACCGTCCGAGTCAACTGTCAAGAAGGGAACGCGGTCTCCCAACAGAAGACCGCGCCAGAGAAGCAGACAGAGACACTCGACATCGTGACCGTCGTGTTGAGCGTGGTCGTGACCGCGAGCGTGATTACGCTCGCGAGAGCAGAGATTGGCCGCGTTCTGCACGCGAGAGGGAAGAGCCGCCGAGAAGAGAGGTGTATCGGGCTTTGAGCCCGCGACAGCCCAGGTTCCCACCTCCTGGCTTTACGGAGACCTGGGAGACAAGACGCCCGCCGAGGCCGGCGTCGGAGACGGAAGAGGAGTCGCCACCCAGAGATCCACGAAGGTCAAGTCGTGTTGGGAGATCAAGAACTCCTAGGCCGCAGCAGCGTGGGAGTTGGAAGAAGTGTTGGGTGTGGGTCCCAGAGGGCGGTTTGAGCCCGGTGAGGGACGAGAGTTTAGAGCGTGAGGAGGACTCGCGTGACGACATCCCCGAGGAGGAGGTTGAACTCGAGGGTGAGAGCGTTGATACGGTGACAGGTGAACCCCGTGTACATCTTGAAGAGGCCGTTGAAGCTGCTCCGGAAGTCCCTGGCTGTTCACCTGAAGTTGCGTCGGGTGTTGACTTTTCGGCGACCGAAGATTCGATCGCGAGGCAGGCTACAGAAGCTGCGACTGAACGGTCTGCATCAGTTGAGCCTGAAAACCTTCGAGAACGTGCACGTGAGCTTCGCTCGAGGGTAGCCCGACCTACAGCCAGCAAACCGTCGCCGTCAGTCAGTGAAGAGCCGGTTGAGGAGAGACCACCCGTTGAGAGAGGGTCAAACCACCTCCAAAGGCCACATCGGCCAAGGCCAAGACAAAGAGAGAGCCGAGTGAAGCTGGTGGCATTGTGCGTGAAGTTGGTGTTGGTGAACCGTCGCGTGCGCGCGAGGGCGAGACATCGTCGGCCTCTGGACTCCGACGGGGGTTGGAAGACATCCCAACTCCGCCTCCGCCTCGAGATTGAGCAGGCAGAAACTGCAAGGCAACGGGAACTGCAGAGTTTGCCGACTCCACCTCCAGCTCCTCGTGTTCCGCCGGTTCCGGCGACTACAAGGACCGCGTCGAAGCCGCGTTTGACGGAAGAGATTCAACCTGTTGTGCTTGCTCCACGGCCGAAGGAAAGGCGTCAGCCTGCCGCGCCGGCTGAGCCGTCGACTTCCGTACGACCGGCAGAGCCTGCGCGTCCTCCATCGAGCGTGTGGCAAGACAAGCCGTTGATCCTGCTCGATTGGCGCAAGACCCTGAGCTTTCCTCACCAGCCTGTTCACGAGAGCGCGATTCAGCTTCTCCGTCGGTGCCAGTCAGAGGGCTACGCATTGGGCGTGTTGAGCTTTGCGTCGGCAAGGGAGACGCAGGAATCGGTGCTGGCAGGTGTGGAGGGAGTCAACGCCAGGCTGGATCGGCCGTTCGACGTGGTTGCAGTGACTCGTACAAAGTTCATCAAAGACCACATCCAGAGTCCGTCCATCACTGGCCACAGCGGCCCCAAGGCCCAGCTCGTCACAGAACTAGGTGCATTGGTGTTTGTCGACGACCAGGGTGCGCTGTTGGCTGACGTCCGGAGTTGGCAGCGCGATTTACCTCAGGGAGGTCGAACACACCTGATTAAGTCGGGGGTCACTCCGGCTGAGGCTCTTGTGCCGCTTGAGCGAGTCCTGAGGGAGTTCCCAACAGCGGGAGAGCTACCGAGCGCAAGGGAGCTCGGAAGGATCCTGAGCCGGTGATCGAAGACAAGGCCAGCCAGCGTCGTGCGATTGCATCTTGCATTGTGTTGAACAGGCATTGGTTGACTGAGCTTTGCAACACATTGGTCAATAAATCTGTCGGCTGGAAGCCAGGTGTCGGGTTGAGACTGCCGTTGCATCATTGAGACATTGTGCAAGTCGTTTGTTGTGCATTGAGCATTCAGAGCTGCTGCAATAAACCTGTCGGCCGAAGGGCCACGTGGCAAGTTGAGCAAGCGGCGAACATTGTGCGTCTTGTTGTGTGTGGTACATTGTTTGTGGTGTTGGTTGAACATTGGTTGATTCGTGGTACTTTGTTGGAACGCATTGCCTCCGCGATCTGTCGCGATCTTCGCAACGGTCGCGACTTGTCTTCGCGGGTTCGCCGCGACCACTGCAAAACTCGCAGCCCTAGGCGCGTGGCAGACAACCGCGACACCCGATCGCGTGCCGTGCAGTGTAAAAGGGGAGGATTGAGCGTTCCGAGAAGTGCCAAGAGTCTGTTGTTGTAGAGTGCTTGTTTGCTGATAATCCTTCATTACAAAGACCACCCACTCAAGACTTGTGTTTCTTGGAGTCACTGATCCTAGTTAAGTCGAGTTGAGCTGTGTCGTATTGAGTCGGTTGATTGAGTTGAGAGACATTGCATTGCACCGTCGATGTCAAAACGGTCGCTTCCTGCAACACCCTTTCGTGTCATCGGTCCTGAAGGCTCCTACGAAACCTCGAGTTCATCCATCTCTCCGAGGATGGAGGGTGAAACTGGGACTGATGCCGGAGCCGGGCTCCAAGTGAGCGTACCAGCTAAGGGAAACACAAAAGTTGCAGTGAATCGCATGAGAACTCAAGGTTCTGAACCTTCCCAACCTTCTGGGGTACAAGGTGATCCGTCGGCCGTTCCTGGGGTGCATGTTTATGATCAGAGGACCCTCAATCATCTACAAGTACTCAACCAGCACAACATTGACCCAGAGACACTTGAAAGAATCGTTCAGGGTTATGTTCAATCGCAGTTGAACCATGCAGAACAGGTGATACAGCATGAACGACAACAACATCAACTTGAGCAGCAGAATGCAGCATTACAGTTGAGCCTTGAACATCAACAGATGAACCAACACATACAACAGCAAGAAGCCAGCATGGCACAACAAGCACATAGCAGGATCAACCAGATCACAACAGAGGCACAAGCAGAAATCCTCAGGCATCAACAAATAGCAGAACAAGCTCAACGCGAGATACAACGCGTGACAGCTGCAGCTGAAGCCAGATGCCAAGACCTTGCGCGTGAGAACGAAGCCCTTCGAGCTTCGCCTGTTGCAGGTTACTTTGGTGCGTGTCCGTCGGAAGCCGGGAGAGCACCATCTGTTGCTTCAGCCTCACCGTTGAACGTTGTTTACTGCCATGTGTGTGGAAACCAGAACGTTGTTGGACAAGGTTGGTGTTGGAACTGTAAAAGTAGTCTTGAAGAGCCCGAGAATGGTACGGACCCTTTTGAACCACCATCTCATGAGAGGTATATGTACCCAGTGCCTACGCGACCCTCTAGTGTCGCGACCATCAGGGAGCCTGTCAACATTCAAAGGAACATTGCGTTGCATGAAGGACCATCCCATGCAGAAGTTCCTCTTCCTCGAGCCCCTGGCGGTCCGGGACCGTATGGCATGCCGTGTGGTGCATTGCATGATGGTTCACATGTTCATCATCTTGGTGTTGATCCCAGGTTGGTCTATGGAATGTCGACCCCAAAGGCTGTTTCAGAGTCAGGGGCCGTTCCGGCCATGCCATCGTTCCCAAGAGCTTCAATGAGACCGGCTTACCCACCAGGGGGGTACATCGGCACTATTCCAGAAGCACCTCCAGGTGTATCATCATCGAGTCACCCACCAAACATCTCCATTGCAACACCTCGCAAGAAGGAGTCATCGGAGTCTGGTGGTGGATCAGAGAGCTCGGATGGTTCATCCGATGAAGGCTCACGAATGCCGGCAGGTAACCCTCCTGAATCTTGGTTGCTTGACGGTGAAACCGAAGACAACGTGTACAAAATCAAGCACTTGAGAAACATCTCAATCACCAAGTTGCCAACAGATGCAACATCTTGTAGAGAGTGGCGTGCTGCATTGCTTGCGTCGGTGTCGCGCATTGATCTCACTGCGCGTGATGTGTTGGTCAAATATACCACTCATTGCATGGATGCTGGACGAGGTCGAACCTTCAGAGCTACGCTCCAGAATGACCAGTCGTTCATCCCCTTCAACAAGCACATCGCCGCGGAGCTCAGGCAAGGTCCAAAAGGGATGGCGTTGTTGAACATTGTCGCATCGTACTATGAGACTGGTTTGACTCATTCGGTTGCACTTGATCAGATGCACTTGTTGTCGTTGACGCTTGCAGGC